TGGAGGAAAGAAAAGCAGCTTTATTATATCCCAAATAAGTATTTTTGAGAGTGTTTGAGTATATATCCTTCTTGACTCCTTCTGATACTTGGGAGGATGAAAAAATTTAAGATTAGGCACAATGATACTGAATCCAAGAAACTCAAATTAAACTCTTAGGGCAGGAATGGATGGTGGTTAGGTGGAAATGAATTGGAGGTACATTTGAGCCCTTGGCAGGAATTGGAGCAGGGTGGGCACTTTTTCTCCTCCCATTAGATTCTGTTGGATGCTGTGGGTAGAGTTAGCCACCTGGCCGGTCCATCCACCTTCTGATGGCAGGTGCCCTGATCTTGCTTTGAATACAAGGTCAGTGGGTCTATCAGTGTAAGAATAGTTGCTTCTGAGAGCACCCCACCACCTCCTGGTTCAATTAGACACCTTCTCCTTGGAATCTGAGCCCGGAGTGGGATGTTGCAAGGACCAAAATTTGACTGGAGATTATTGCTGTCAAGAGTGGTGGTCTGGAAGAAAAAAAGAGCTTACTAATTCTCAGAGATTGTGAGCCATCAGGTTCTTATCCTTTCAGAGTCTAGTTCTTTAGGTTTTCCTTAAGTTCTCTGAGTATCCCATGGCATTCCAATGCGTTCTTTTTTTTTTTTTTTTGAGACGGAGTTTCGCTCTTGTTACCCAGGCTGGAGTGCAATGGCGCGATCTCGGCTCACTGCAACCTCCGCCCCCTGGGTTCAGGCAATTCTCCTGCCTCAGCCTCCTGAGTAGCTGGGATTACAGGCACGCACCACCGTGCCCAGCTAATTTTTTGTAATTTTTAGTAGAGACGGGATTTCACCATGTTGACCAGGAAGGTCTCGATCTGTTGACCTCGTGATCCACCCGCCTCGGCCTCCCAAAGTGCTGGGATTACAGGCTTGAGCCACTGCGCCCGGCCTCCAATGCGTTCTTATGCCTTTTCTTATCAAATTTATGGGCGTCTTTTGGTTGCAGTGCAAGAGCCCTGAATGATCCTGATTCCTTTGGAGGATTCCACCAGGATTAAATATCTAGAGATTGTCAAATGAAACCTGATGGAAACCTGTGTCTGTTGCTGCTACTTTGTGCAGTAGGTACAGAAACAAGGGAGGAAGGAAAGATGTGTTAGTGTCCTCTTTCAGTGGACCCAGCTGAGAGAGAAGCAGGAGTGAGAGGTTTGCATGGGGCAGGAGGAGTGGGGATGCCATGAGAGAAAAGGAGAGGAAGCAGGATTGGGCAGAAACCTCAGCCTGCGGTATGACCTGATGGTCTCAGCCGATTCAACATATTGCTCCTGCACACAGATTTCCCCTTAGAGAAGCCCTATGTTGGATAGAAGTGACCAGGCCCTAGTACCCTGCTGTGCTCTGTCTTTAGCTGGGGGCTGCCCAGAAAGAGTCCAGCCTCTGCTCAAAAGCTAAGGCATACTTGAAGGCTCTGCAGCAGGTCGGTGCCAGCTCACTGTGCTCCTTGTCCTTCCTGGTAGGGAGATCTGAGCTGCATAGCTCCATGGCTGCCTTCCACTGTGCACACAGTTTTCTCTTGGCACTCTGCTTTCTCTTGTTCTCAGGACTCTCACTTACCCTGTGAGGTTGGTGTTATTTCCACTCCCCCAGTTGATGAAATGGAGACTTAGCTAGTTATTATCCCCTAAGATTTTCCTGCTAGTGAGTGTGAGTGCTGGGATTGGGACCCAGCTATGTCTACCTCGAAGGCTGCTGCTTTGATGTCCTGTGGCAGTGGCCATTGCTTCAACTGCCATCATCCCCACAATAAGGACTTGGGTTCTGCAGCTTCAGGGGCTGCTCATTGTCCCCTGAGCAAATGCTCTATTTGGGTGGTGTGTATGTATAGGCACCTGGATCTGTCTTGGGTTAAAAGCAGAACTTTCTTTTTAGCAAGTGAGTAATATTCCATTGTCTGGATGTACCATGGCTTATTTATCTGTTCACCTACTAAAGGACATCTTGGTTGCTTCCAAGTTTTAGCTATTAAGAATAAAGCTGGTATAATATAAACATCAACCTGCAGGTTTTTGTGTGGATGTACATTTTAAACTCCCTTGGGTAAAATACCAAGAAGCATTATTGCTGGGTCATATGGAAAGAATGTATTTAGTTTTGTGAGAAAATGACAAAACATCTTCCAAAGTGATTGTCTCATTTTGCATTCCCACCAGCAGTGAATGAGAGTTCCTGTTGCTCCACATCCTCACCAGCATTTGGTGCTGGCAGCGTTCTGGACTTAGATTATTCTAATAGGGGTATAGCGGAACTTCACTGTTGTCTTAGTGTGCATTTCCCTCACGGCATATGATGTGGGGCATCTTTCCCTATGCTTATTTGCCACCCGTATATATATTTTTGGTGAGGTATCTGTTCAGGTCTTTGGCTCATTTTTCAATTGGGTTATTATTGTTGAGTTTCAGGAGTTCTTCATATGCTTTGGATAACAATCCTTTATAAGATATGTCTTTTGCAATATTTCCTCCCAGTCTATGGCTTGTCATTTCGTTCTCTTCACAGTGTCTTACATAGAGGAGAAAACTTTAATTTTAGTAAAGTCTAGCTCACCAGTTCTTTCTTTTTCTTTTTTTGAGATGGAGTCTTGCTTTGTTACCCAGGCTGGAGTGCAGTGGCATGATCTCAGCTCACTGCAACCTCTGCCTCCCGGGTTCAAGTGATTCTCCTGCCTCAGACTCCTGAGTAGCTGGGACTACATGCACATGCCACCATGCCTGGCTAATTTATATCTTTGTAGTAGAGATGGGGTTTTACCATATTGGTCAGGATTATCTCAAACTCCTGACCTCCGGTGATCCACCAGCCTTGGTCTCCCAGAGTGCCAGGATTACAGGGGTGAGCCACCACATTCTTACCAATTCTTTCTTTCAAGGATCATGACTCTGGTGACATATCTAAAAAGCCATTGGCAAACCAAAGGTCATCTAGAGCTCTCAACCTATGGAAAACATGGAAGGACCTTAAATGCATTTTACTAAGTTAGAGAAGCCAATCTGAAAAAGCTACATACTGTATAATTCCAACTATGTGGCATTCTGGAAAAGGCAAAACTAAGTGAAATGATCAATGGTTGCCAGGGGTTAGGAGAAAGGGAGAGATGAATGGGTGGAGCACAGAGAACACTTAGGGCGGCGAAACTATTCTGTATGATACTGTAGTGGAAGACACATGTCATTATATGTTTGTCAAAACCTATAGAGTATACAACATCAAAAGTGAATACTAATGTAAACCATGGACTTTTATGTGATAATGATGTGCTAAGGTAGGTTCATCAATTATAACCAAAGTACCACTCTGGTGAGGGATGCTGATAACAGGGGAGGCTATGCAGGTATGGAGGAGGGAGTTCATAGGAAATCTCTACCTTCCACTCAGTTTTGCTCTAAAAATATAATCCATTAAAACAACAACTCCTCCCACGCTTTCTTTTGCACATGCTTTAGTTTGGGTTCCCTCCAAAGCAGATGCTATGGCAAGTAGTTTACCTGAGAGGATGTTCCAGGAAGCGATCCTGGAATGAGTTTGTGGGGGAGGGAGGTGTAAGAGAGGAGAGGAGTATGAGCCAATATTGAGCATCAGTGAACCAGTTCACATGGGCATCTGGGGCTCCCTCCTGCTGGAGACCATCTGAGGAGCTGTGCAGAATGTTGGGACAATTCTGACTTCCATTCCTCACTGGTGGAATACAGCCCTACAGGCGTTGGCTCCCAGGCACTTGGCAATTATGGCCTGTATGTAGGCTGAGCAGCTCCCAGGGCACCAGCAAGAGCTTCAGGTATATAGCTGGGGAGAGGGTGGCATGGATGCAGTCAGCATGCAGGGAAATGTCCATCAGCCTGGGTGGGGCATCCATAGTATCTGCCACATGCATATTCAAGGATTATGAAAATAATCTGACTCCAGTTTTAGGGTGTGTGACACTTGTGGTTTGGGATTCAGGAGAAGTAGTTGTCATAACACCACAGACCAGGTGGCTAAAACAACAGAAAGGTATTTCTCACAGTTCTGGGATCTAGAAGTCCAAGATCAAGGTAGCTTGGACTGTGCGGTTTCTCTCGAGTCCTCTCTCTTTGGGTAGAAGGCCATCTCCTCGCTGAGTCCTCACAGGGTCTTTCCTCTGTTAACTCACTTTTCTGGAGTCTCTTCCTCTTCTTAGGAGAATACCAGTCTTATTGGATTAGGGTCCCACCCTTGTGACCTAATTTAACCTGTTATTTTTTTAAAGGTCCCATCTCCAAATACAATCACATGGGGATTAGAGTTTCAACATACAAATTTTAAAGGAACACAATTCAGTCCCTAACAATGATGGCTGACAACAGGACCTGGTTCTGGGCCCTATTTCCTCTTTTTACTGATCCCAGAAAGAGTTAAGTGAGAAGCTTAGGGTCATAAAGCTTGAGTTGAAATACGATGCTGAGTCAGAAGCAAATCTGTCCACCCAGGGACTGCACACACCTACGGGCATCATGTCCCTGAAGTCTTCTGACCTTGGCCCTCTCTCCTTGAGAATCCCAGAGGCACCTGGCCGTCCATCTTGATGCTGGGGTTCCAGGGCTGGCCATGCTGCAGGGCCTGTGCAGGTGCTTCCCTTTGTTCTCATCTGGCAATCAAGACGCCTGGGCCAGGTTAACATTCCTGTTCCCCAGTCTTTTTTGTTTTGTTTAAGTGTTGGTGAAAATTTTAGGAGGTGGAAATGGGCACTCGCATTTCTTGGGATTGTACATTGGAACAGTTCATCTAGAAAGGCGATTTGGTGGGATGTTTCAAAAGCTCTAAAGATGTACACATCTGCAGATATTCTAAGATGTTCCTAGAAGGGGACCACCTGGGTCAAAGATTTAGCTACAAGGAGAATCGCTAGTGTTGGTTTCTCACATTTTACTTTTATAAACATGCCCAACCCCAAGAGATCGAATAAACAAAGTATGTAACTTATTCAATGGAACACAAATACATAAAATGTAATTCTGCAGAGAACATTTAATGATTTGGAAAGATTTTTCACAATGCCACGTGCAAAGGCTAATTTCAGAGCAACCCATATTGTGGTTCCATCCATGTTAAAAAAATACGAAGATCTAGAAGGCTAATAAACCTGGAACAACAGTGGTCACTTCTGAGTAATGGGCTTGTTGAAGATTTAAAATCTTTATTTTCTAAAGTAACAATCTATATGCATTGCTTTTGTAATAGGAAAATCCACAAAAACACTTATTTTGAATAATTTACGTAGTTTTGGCAGATGCTGCTGGCCAGGGAACTCTACAGCAGTTACTGACTTGTCTTCCCTTGCTGCTTGTTTCCACTCTCTATAGCTGAATGCCCACCTTTCCAGCTTCCCTGACTGCTGGCGTGGCCAGGTGATAGGAGTTCTGCTTACCGAGATATAAGTGGGAGTCTGCTGGGTGGACATGGAAGTTTCTGGGAAAGCTGATGCCGCCTGATAAAAGGAGGGGATACTTCTGGCCCCTCTACTTTTCCTTTCTTCCTTCTGGAATGTGGAAGTGATGACTTGAACAGCAGTAGCCCTCTTGTGACCACAAGGTGATAAGGGTGGCGCAGCAGAAGGGTCAAGTCTAAGCTTCTGATGACACCCTTAAATTAATGCATCAACCCTGGACTCCATACCCCCAGGCTTTTTGTCATGGGTGAGAATTCTGACCTAACAGTTCTGGCTGGCTCAGGTATGAAGGCTTTTGGCTGCAAGAAAGATTTAAGGTCGCTCCTCTAGGTCCTAGATCATCCCTATCATTCCACACTGTCTCCGTGGAGAGAAGCAGTGCCTTATCAAGCCACTCTCTCCCCAGGCTGGCACTACCCTCTTTCTGGCATTACTATCTGAATTTATTTGGTGGCTCCTGGAGGAGAGGAGCACTGCCCATCTTTTGTAGCATAGGAATGTGTTAAGCAGCCCTTGTGCCCAACAGAGCAGGGCCCTGTATGAGACAGCCAGTCAGCTGTCTCTCAAAACACTATGTGCTGGGCATTGTGCCATGTGCTGGGAGAGGCAAAAGAGCAAAACAGACTCATACCTTGTCCTTCTGAAGCTTTTCACTTTGTAGAAAACAAGAATATTGAAAAGTCAGTTAATCCTTTGCAGTCATTAGTGTGCAGTGTTTTGAACAGGGTGCCATGCGAGTGTGTCCTGGAAGGACCTGGCCCGGGACTCAGGGAAGGCAGCCTAGAAGCTCTTTTCTGTCTCTAGGCTCAGCAAGATATATCCCAAATTCCCAGGCTTGTCTGAGACAGCCTCTCCGTCACAATGCCAAGTGGAAGGCATTTTTCCTTTTGTCAAAACCCTCGCCTGTGGGCTTTATCGTCCATAGATGCAAAATGAGGGAAATGGACTCGACAAACTTCCAGCTTCCCAGAGCTCAAATGCCATGTAAAAGTAGCTCGGAGAGGCCACCACAGGAATGGTACAGACACAGGCTGGCAAGGCAAAGCAGGGGCTGTTTGCTTCCCAGCCTTGGCAGAGATGGGTCCCACATTTGTTCAGAGGAAGAGAGACCTCTGCAGGGAACAGCGTGTGCAAAGGGCTTTGGTGTAGCCTGTGTGAGCAGCAGCAGGAAGGCCAACTGGGGCTGGGGCGGAGTGGGGCACAGAGATAGATTCCATGTGGCAGTGAGCAGTGGAGGTCAAAGCTTTAGGATCCAGCTTGTGTTTCAAAAGGATTTCAGGTCAGTCCTTGCCCATTCTGTTTGCTCTCTGGGTAAAAAAATCAAGAGGTCAATGGTGGGGAGATCTGGTAATCCATGCAGCAAGTTACATTGATGGATGTGGCCTTAGACTCTGCATGTACCAAGGTAACCTGAGCAATGAAGCATTTATTTTTGTTTTGAAGTGTCTTTAAATATGTGCAACTTTTATAATCATAAAGAAATTCAAATTATAAAAAAATGTCAAGTGCTTATCCCTAGGGGATTACCAGGGGCCTTCACACTCTGCTGTGTGTCAGCAGTCTTTTGAAAGTTTTGGTCCTTGAACAGTGTCATTTTCTATTGTTCTGTGCCTCTAAACAGTAATGGGTATCCTTCTAGGCAATATGCAAGAAGAAACAGGCAAAGACAGAAGAGTATTAACTCAGTTTCATAGTCACAAAGTCAGTTACACAGGCACACACATCCATACGTGTATGCCTACACACATACACACACTGCTCCTTCCAGTTGGAGTCAGGCCTGAGGAAACGACCTTGGAGGTTCACTGCAGGAGGGCATAGCTCTTTCTCTTCCCTCCACTTCCAGTGCTCTCTATCAGGCTCCAGTGTTTCAAGCTTGAAGGCAGGTAGAAAACTTTGAAGGCAGTCACATCTACGTTGCCTGTTGGCGGGTGTTCTGGAGAGCTGCCCAGGAAGTATGGAGGAGGAAGTCCCTTTGGGCAGGGTTAGCTACACACATCTTTGGAGTCTGATAACCTACTCACCAGTTGTGAGACCATGAGCAAGTTTTGTGACCTTTCTGAGCCTGTACCTCACCTGAAAAATGGGAATGACGACACTGCTCCCAGTCCCAGGGCTGCTCTGTGCCGAAACGAGACGACACAGGCCACGTCCCTGGGACACAGTAAGTGCCAGTGGGTCAGTGGGGGGTCACTGTCTTCGTTCCAGAGCACAAAGACCTCTGGCTCTGAAAACAGAGGACCAGGCTGTGTGGTCTAGGACAGGCTGCTTTGCTTTGCTTCCACTTCTCCAACTGTGAGTTGGAGCTGCAGCAAGACAAGGTGTGGGGGGCAGACATTTTTGCAGCAGGCTGCAGGTGTCCCTCACAGATCCTTCCTTTGCCTCAGTGGGCTCCACCTTGGTGCCACTCATCTGAGACCATGACTGATGGACTGCTGGCAGGTGCCTAGCCCTAGCTGGGCTCTACAGCACCCAGATCTGCTGTGCCAGAAAGTGAGGCTTCCTGGAGCTGAGGCTGCTCCTAAGTTTCATCTTCTGTTGGGGCTCAGCCTCTGGTTTCATTTTTGGCTCCTGTGCAACCCCCTGGAACTAGAGAGCAGTGGTCCAACTCTCCAGAACTAAACTAGGATGTCAGGCAGCTGGAGAAGGTTAGGGATGAGGTTTTACTGCTTATTTATTTTGCTCTACTTTTCTATCAAAATTCTTTCCTGCTATACCTTTAAAAATAGCGATTTCAAACTCTCTCATGGTCTGTGTGTGAGGTTTCTTCTGAGTTTTTTTTTTTTAAGAAAACAAAGGGAATGGTGAAACGATTTTCTTGCCCCTCCCCTTAAAAATGTCCATCAAAAATTAACATGAAGGTGAAATTTTCTGACTTCAACTCTGTCATTGAGACCTGTAAACTTTTCCTGAAATTTCAGCAGAGTGATGTGCAGTTTTCCTGATAGTCTCACCGCAGTTGGTGAGATGGAGTATGTAGCAATGACAAACACTCAAATTACCATATTTCCTTAAAGAGAGAAGCCACTTGCCTGAAGCCAGTACCTACCAAGAGAGAGATGCTTGGGGTTGAAAAGGTCTTTTTGGCTATGGCTTTCACGAGGAATATGTAAATGACCACCTATGAATTCTAAGGTAAGTGGCTAGCAAGAATTACCAGAAAAACAAGGAAATCCACCCCTACCACTAGCAAAAAAAGAAGTCCACCTCGAGATAAATGTACAACAAATTTTGTCAAGTTGAAATGATATGATTGCCCAGTGTGGTCTTTATGGCATTAGCTTTTAGGGTCAGGGTTTCTCCAAGTTGACTGCCAATCAAATGGCTTTTCATTGCTCAGACAGACACAGGTGCTCTAAGCTGTGCACAGCTGACTTTTATGGTCCCCACTTGTTCATTAGGGAGGTAGAAAATCAAAAGCAAGGGCAAGCGTGGGTCTGGGAGTATTGCTGAGCTCAAATCTCTGCTCCAGCAACTAATGCCTCTCGTCCCTGGAGTACAGGCTGGCTCCTCAATCTGCCTCTAGTTCCTCTCCTTAAAATGGGCTTGGTTTGGGCTCAGATTAAAGAAATGAAAAGCCTTTCAAATGTAACTGTGCCATGTACTGTGTTAAGAATTTCATAAATGAAAAAAATCTAAGACTTTATATTGATAGAAGATAACTTTTACCTTCCAGCTCCCCTGTTGTGACGGATAAGCGGATGCTCTGGCCATGTGTATGCAGGTGAAAATGGGAAGAGCCAGGTTACCGCTGCTCAGCATCTCTAGGGATTTATGTTTACAACTCACAAAAGTTTTGAGAGAATCATTATTCAACATACAGTAAACACCCTAAACTTTCCACAGTTCTGCAAATGGCAGGCACAGATGCTCCACTATTGTGGCCTTCTAACCTTTGATACTTGAGGGGTTTCTCCCCCATCTTTTACACTATTTTGGTAGTTCTCTAAGTTGAGTGCACTGGCCTCTCCCCAGAGCTGCTGGTGCTGCTGCTGCTCCAGAGAGCACACTTTGAGAACCATTGCTTGATGTGATATGAAATACACTCAGGGAACTCCTTTTCCAAACCCAGCTTTTCCCAGAAGAGCTGATGGTAACCAGCTTAAGACAAGGTGGTGGGTATAAAAGTGTGTGTCTGGTGCGCTCCCTACATCACTGGGGTTTTTGGTTATCTTCAACGGGCCTCCTGAGAGAGTCTTTTAAGTTGGATTGTGGCTAGCTGCAAAGGTGGGATCCCAAGGAAATTATAATACAGAGATCCTAAACTCAGAGCTTCAAATGATCACAAAACCAAGGTTTTAGAAAAGGGGGAATGGACACTCTGTTTCTTTCTGGCCAGGTGGCATTAAGTCAGCCTGAGTGGAAGGTCTGGAACGCTAAGGAGGGGAAAGGCTGTTCTCAGTGAGGTGAATGTACTTTGGAGAAGAAGCCACAATGTGGATGAAGGTCTGTGGCCCTGGGTGGGGCTCTAGCTGGATCTAAGCATGCGGAGGAGGCAGCCTAAGGTTGTGCCCCCCTAGGCTAGGCTTGAGTAAACCGTTCTGGGCAGGGTTGGGTGAGGCAGGTGGTGGGGCAGGGGGAGCGCACAATTTGCCTTTGCAGCCTCACCTCTGAAGGTCACTGTGCAAACTTCAAATGAATTCACCTGCTCAATACCAAAATTAAGTAGAGCATCCTTGATCTTAAATTGTTCTCTTATTCTCTCTCTGGACTTGACCCCATTTTATTTTAGGTTTTTAAAATCAGGTTCCATTATGAAGGGCTTTAAACAAGGTTAGAAACTACAAATGCACAAGGTGGGGAATACTGCCTGGTCTACCTGGTTTAAGAAACTGAAGTGGAAACCTCTGAGAATGGAGAAGGCTTTGCTCTGTCCCTGGGAGCAGCCCTCACACTGGCTCCTCAGCAGCAGGGAGCAGTGGCTCAGTACATGGGCTCTGGGGCCAGAGTGCCTGGGTTTAAAGAGCAGTGACACTAATCACCAACAATATGGATGGTATGGTCTTGGTACTTACCTGACAGGGTGGTTACATGACCTTCCTGCTTATGAGAAGGAAATGGAGGCATGAAGTGTATGGCTAAATGCACATGGAGGGCTCAGGGCAGTGCCTGGCAATTTCTACTCTGTTATTGCCTGCTGCTATTAATGATGATGCCACTGAAAGGATCAAAGACCCAGGGCTTCAACAAAGAGCCAGAGTGTCTGACCTTGAAGGACACTGGGCTTGGGTTGTGCTCATCCATTCATTGAACAGATTTATTCAGTGTCTACTCAGTGTCAGAGACTGAACTAGGCTGGAGGGTACAGCAGTGAATGAAGTTGGATGTCCCTGCCCTTGAGGAGCTTATGACCAGTGAGAAAGACACAGATTCAGCAAAGATTCCCCCAATGATGAATGAGTAATGACAAAATGAGATGAATGCTCTGAAGGGATGGAATTCAGTTTGCTGAGTGTATGGAAGAGCTGTTACCTGATCTGGCTTTCTGGGTAGTGGGAGTTAGCTCTGTCTGAAACCTGGAGGACAGTCAGGTATCAGTGATGGAGTTTGGAGGCAACTGGGACCCTTCTAGATAGGGCTGAGCTGAATGAAGGCCCTGGGATAGAGGCCAGAGGGATCTTATGGAAAGGGAGGAGGGGTGCGTCAGGAGTGGGGAGGGGAGTGCATGTCATTCATGGGTCCCACGGAAGTTAGCATCAGGACAACTCTTTAAGCAGTTATAAGGCCAGGAGTGGGAGGCATTCGCATGATTTAGAAGTACATTTTGAAAAGAACATTCTGGTTATAATGTGTAGAGGAGAGAAGGTTGAAATGGAAGCTGGAGAGATTGTAGGGAGACCCAAAAGGGGTAGAAGTGGTTCTGAAGCATCTCCTGGAGTGCCTGTAACACACAATTCCTACCAGCTTGCTATCCCCACTGGAAATTTTTTTTTTTTTTTTTGAGTCAGGGTCTTGCTCTGTCACCCAGGCTGGAGTATAGTGGTACAATCTGTGCTCACTGCAGCCTCAAACTCCTGGGCTCAAAAGGTCCTCCCACGTCAGTTACCTGAGGAGCTTATGGGGCTACAGGAGTGTACGGCCATATCTGGCTAATTTTTAAAAACATTTTTTGTAGAGATGAGGTCTTGCTATGTTGCCCGGGTTGGCTTCCAGAGATTCTGATGCAGCAGGTGCATGGTGGTCCCTAGGATCCTGCTTTTCCAGCATGATGAAGTTGCCACCCATGGACCACACCGTGAGTGGCTCTAGCTTAGAGTCCATTCGTGGTAGGGGAGTTGGTAACTGGATGAATTCTCAGGAGACAGCAAGAAACCCTTTCTGAAAACAGACTATTTTGTTTTGAAGAAATTTGTCCCCAATCATAATTTAGTACAAATTTCAGAGATACCCTTAATGACATGGGGATGGGGTGAGGGACAGAACTTTACAGAAGTAGACTTGGTGACACAGATGCAGGTGGCTCTGGTTAACTCAGGCTCTATATAACCTGGGTGCTAGGCAAGGTTTGAGTGGTGCTTGTTTTTATCCATCTCTCTGGTTTTCAGAGCAGCAAGAACCTTATACAAACACTGAGGTTATACAGACTGGGCCTGAGTTAATCAGAGTAGCTCTGGATCTCTGTTCTATAGAAAGTGAGTGAGAGGAACATTCTACTTTTTATTCGTGTTTTGAAAAGGACAGTAGCCAACCTAGCCACTCCATCTTGAAAACTGGCCTGGGCTCTGAAAAGTGGTGATGTCATATATAAGATTTAGGTTAGGCACAAAATGCTACCCAAATTCTAGAGACCTCATTAGTCTTCCAGCTCTGCTGGGTCCATGCTGTAAGGACCTGGGGAAAGGAAGCCCATCTGTCAGCACAAGTAATGGAAAGTATTACCCCTGATGGAGTGTCTGGCAGATCAGTGCCCCAGGAGCAGTCCCATGCTTGGTTCTTGTCCAGCTGTCAGGTCACTGGGACACATGCTTATGTACAGCTGTGGAATTCTCCCTGGCTAAGAAAGGTGTTTGCTCTCTAGGGACCCTGGGACCATCTAGGAAATAGATGCATCACCTGTATATGTGGCTACAAAGAGACTTCCTCTCTCCAGGAGTGCCCCTAAGGCCACCATCCTATCCTATTACGAGGTCCTCCCTTCCCTCTACTTTGCCCTATTCAAAGCTACCATCACTGAGTATCAAAACAAAGGTCCCAGCTCTGCAACCACTGTGTGTTTTGGCTCCTAAGAGGAAATGTTCAATTGAGTGGCACTGAACCCTCCTGATGGCCCATAACTTCATTTTCACAGTGGGAAGCCTGGTAGCACCATTTTCTCTGTAGGAAACTAATGTTACCAGGAGTGGCCTTTTCTTTAAAAGTGGAGCATTTGTGTTGGGGATAAACAGCAGCCTCAGGAAGCCAGTGTCTGCAGGGGCGATGCAGCAGCCAGCCCAGACCTGGAAAGCCACGTGCCTGGGTTCTAGAGCTGATGGTCCTCTGTGGCGGGGGAGTGGCTGCCTCGCCAGTGGGTGCCTTTGCTGGTTCTGGAGCCAGAATGCCGCCTGTAGTGTGGTGCGGCCCTGGTGTTGTGAAGTAGCCGTTCTCTGATTGGCAACGGCCTGATTCACAACACCAGCTGCCCCACCACACCATGCTGGGGAGGTCTCTGGGTGGGTCGACGGGCACAGAGATGCCTCTGTGCTGCTGGATGAGGTGGAGAGGACAGAGAACAGCCAGAAGTGAGAACTGGAAAGCAAGCAGATGCCAACATTTCACTGCCCTCCCCTGCCCCACCTGAGAGACTTCTGTCGTGACTTTTGTGAACTTCCCCATCCCATGGGGTCACCCCCATCCCACAGGGGTATCCATGGCTCCAAGGAGTCCTGGATCCTGAACACAGACTTACCTGTGTGTTGGTATTTCTCTGGGAAGATCTGTCTTCAACAAACGCTAAGAGCCCTCCACAGCTTGAGTGTGTCCACTGATGGGCCTTCATAGTATTTGGTGGTCACTGCACCTCCCAGAACAAAGTTTTTTCCCCACTGATGCTTTTCTGGGAGAAATGCAGGGAATCCCATTATTGTGTTGTCAAATATAGAAATCAGAGATGGTTCTTACTGCAAGTTCTGAGTAGGAACTTTGCCTCGGCCGTCTCTCACCTCTCGATTTGTATGCTGTCCAAGGTCCCCAGACCTGCAAGTCCATGCTTGGAATAGCTCCCTGTCTACTGAGGATGAGCAGGGTCAAAATGGAACCCCTCAAGAATGCAGAGCAATCTCTCTGATTCAGTCCTCTAGAGCGGGGAACACATTCCAAATAAAAAGTAAGGGTGACCTCCGAAGATTTGAGGCAATCATACAAACCAACCAAAGCTGAGACTGGCTGAAAAGAAACCAGGTAGCCAACATGTAAACACTTAACTATCATGGTGCCTGCCTTTCCATCAGCAGGTGATCTGCCGGGGTGCTTCCTCCCCTGGCTTCAGCTGGTCCAGGATCCTGAGTGTCTGTAATAGGGAAACCCAGCAGTAAGATCACTTGGGAACTCTCCTTTTGGTATCTGCCTGGATTTCATCACCATTATGAAATTATATAGCATAAACTTGACATGAAAATAGCATTTGAAGTTTAATCCCTATTTTCAGGTGTCAATAAACACTTTAAATGAACAGCTCTTTGGCCCAAAATGGCTCCTGCCTGCTGTGTGCTTCTTAGTTACCCAATCAAGAAAAATCACATTTCCCACTTTCTGCCATCTATCTTGGAACCCACTTTATTTTAAGGACACAAACTTGGCAAGTTCCTAGTACTGGATGTGGCATAGAAGTTCTGCCAAAGTTCTTGCCAGAGTTGGAGAGTTGGGGGAAGCAGAAACTTTGAGTAATTCATCAATCATAATCACCAGGCCATATGAATCACCGTGGTCTTGGAGTTCAGAAATGTCTGGATTTTCCTATCTGCAATCAAAGAATCTCTGCTGGGATGTTAGGCTATAATCTCTACACTGGGCCTCTGTGGCCCACAGAATCCCAGGCTGGGAAGCTAGGTTCCCAGGCCAAGTTCTTCCTGCCAGGTTCCGAGGAAGGACTTGGGACCAGATGTCAGCTACTGTGTACTGGGGCAGAAGTGCCAGACGTTCTAGGTACTTCACACTCCTGAAATTCTTGAATCTTCATCACTCCATGAGGGTCATCATCTATCGCTGCTCACTGGGTCAGGAATGGAAAGTTCTGTAGGATGAAGGCACTCATGCAGTCAATGAGCAGCAGGAGGAGCCGGGGTGGAGAGGGGACCCAGCTCCAGTGCAGCTGCCTTTCCCTGGTGGACGTGGACACATCCAGGTGCCTCTCCCTGTTCAGATTGCTTATCTGTGAAGGCGAGCCCAGAGCAGATGCTAAGTCCACACCTCCGGCCCTGCAGGCTGGGAGACTGCTCTCCCAGCAGTGTAGATGAGTGGGCAGTTGTGTGGCACCATGGTTAAGTGCTGGGACTTTGGAAACAGGTGGGTCTGGTATGCAACCTGACTCTACTTCTTCCTACCTGTGTTTTAAGGCAAATTACTGAAAATTTCTGGGTCTCAGTTTTATTATCTGCAAAAGAGTATAATAATAAGATCAGAAAACTGGGCATGCCGCAAATACTAGATAAATGTGCATATTTGATGAGCATTGGTGTTGACTAATGGTTGGTTTTCCAAGCATCAGGTAGAGACCTGGAATTTTTTCTTTCCCATGGGGCTGGAATTTCTGTGGACTGTCTTGGGGACCAACCACCACTCACTTTGAGAATGAGCAAGTTCCAGAAAGTAGGATTAACTCCTTGTAAAATAAAGCAAGGAGACTGTGAATTGCTGACCAAGAGAGCACATGGGAAGGTCATGCTGGTACCAGGTAAAACCTGTACAAACTCCCGTAAGTTAAACACCACAAACCCATGTCCTGGCGTTATCCCATCCCTGTGTCAGAGGGGCAAAACGTGACTCAGGAATAGGTGAGAAGCTGAGGCCATGAACAGACTCATCTGCAGCCAACTCCACTTTTTGGTTTTGTTGAGAATCCACCAGTGCCCAGGAGGACACAGAGAGACCAAGAAATCATCAACAAATGGCTGTCATGTTTTATCTTTAAATGCTTGCAAGGACTTGGCACCTTAAAGGGCAGGTCCAGGCCTGGCAAAGCCTCACACCCCTTCCTCCCCTAAGCCTCCCTGTTCTCCTCCTTTCTCTCTGTGCTTTCCTAACTTCTCATATGAACCATGCTCCCTGCCACCCCAGGGCCCTCACACAAGCTGCTTCCTCTGCCTGGAATGCCTCTTTCCCAGTTCTGCATGTTGAATACCAACTCCTTCAAGCTTCAACTCTGGTCACTTCCTGGACTCCTAACCCCAGACCAGACCTGACTCCTCTGTCACATGCTCTACAGGTATCTGATCCTCTTCCTTCAAAGCACTTCTCATGGCATGCGAGTGAAGTCTTCTCCACTTGACTCCAGCCTCATCCCTGCGTCCCCAGTGTTGGCCATGTGGGAGATGCTTGATGAATACTGGTTGGATGAATGAATCATTTTGACCGAGACTCAATGGCCCAGTTATTCTTTTCTAACTCCTCAGATTAATCCTTCAAGAGAATAAATATGGCACCAAGTATTTTAGGGACATACACAGTGCTGTTCTGTAATGAATAATTTTACTTCAATAGACTGTCAGACCTCCTAACTCATCTTCCTGACTCTAGGCTAACTCCATGCTGATCTGACTCACCCTCTCCTAAACTCCCCACTGCCTCAGGATAGAGTGAGTCCCGGATCCTGCAGCCTCTTTGCCAGCCTGCCCCTGCCCAGTGGTGCAGTTGTGCCCCCCTAGCATACGACATGTGCATGCTTCTGTGGAACTGAACCTGACTGGAAGGTCCACATCCCTTTCTATCCAGAAAACTCCTCTTTCTGCAGTCCCAGTTCTGGAGCCAGCCATCAAGGAGGACTTCCTTGCCCCTTGCTCAGCTTGCATTCTTGGCCTGGCCTCTGACTCTTGTACCTTTCGTGTCCTTCCATTACCATTTACCTCTTCAGTCTGTTTCAGTTGATGGTGACCTTGAAGACAGAAGCCATCATGGAGTCACCGGGCAGGTCAGCACCGACACAGCACCTGGAACACAGGGGCCTCCAGCCTGGATGTGCTTCCATTTCATGAGGAGGTCCTGCAAAGCAGGGGGTGTGAGGGGACCATGATGGTAAAAATATGTTCTTTGTGTCCCCTAAGAATCATCAGAATGTCCAGAAAGTTTCATATTTTGCCATATTAAGTGCATTTCTTCATCGCCATGGCCACACAGACTCCCAGTGCAGAACCCCGCCACCTCTTGTCTGGTCCAGGTGGTAAGCAGCTAACACAGCCTTCCCACAGCAGCCCAACTGACTGTCTTAAAATATGAATCAGAAGATGTCTCTCTCCTGCTTCAAACCTTCATTTGCTCCCCATTACACATGGAATAAAAGAATTCTCTGCAAAAGCCCACAAGGCCCTGTGGGTCCAGCCCTCCCTGCCCATCCACCGTCACTCCCTCCTCCTGGGCTCTGGCTGTGTTCTCTCAGATCTTGAAACACAGAGCAAGACCATATGGTGTCTTCTGCAATGTAAAAAAGGCAGGCCTTTCTTGTGGATAGAGCCTCTTTTGAGCTCAAGAAGATGTCACTGCTACTTGACAGGGTATGTGACCTCCTGAGTAGCATGTGGGCTGAACCCCACCCCTCACCTGCCCCTGGATGGGGTGCCCCGCTGGAACACACCTGGTTCCCTCCCACCTCAGGGCCTTTTTGCCTGCTATTGCCTCCTTAAGGACCTCAGCCACTCCAAGGGCACTTTAAGAGAATGCAAGATATCTAGTATTCCAATAATCGTGTGCCAATTCTAACCAGACCTTTTATCTTTTATTATTTTCCAATTAGTCTTCCTTCACTACTAGCTTGGGAGGATCAGGCCAGCTAACTTTTTTTTTTAAACATCACATAATGATTGCTTGGTGTAGGCAATACCAAGGACATGACATTTTTCTAAGCTTTATAACATCAGAGGTTTCAAATCAACAAAACATTTTTCGCCTGTTCTTGAAAAAGATGACTGCAACAGAAACGCAGGATGTGTCTCCTCATCAACTACCTCCTAGGGTTATCATGGATCAGCATGAATTCCATTCAGAGTCTGCCATCAGCCACTGACTCTGGCCAGCTCAGGAAGCCTGCACAATGAACAGTGGGTGATTCATGGCTGGACCCCAACTCCAAGATCCTGGTTTAGTCAGCTTAAGAATGAAGTCCAGGAATTCATCCCCCAACCCCAAGGATTCTGATAAACCAGATTTGGGAACTGCTGCTCTAAATCTAGGGCTCTGTTAAAACAGATGTTCCTGATGAGCCTAAGTATAGTGCGAGTCTGATGTGGCTGTGACATCTGAAGAAAATTAAATGTTGCCCATGTGGCCAGCACTGTTGGTGCCTAGCACCTCCGATCCTATATATAGGGTGCAACTCTTGGCTTAGGGGCTTCCTTGGGTCAGGAATGGGAGCAGGAGTGTGTTCAGGCTGCGTGTGAACTGGCTGAGTGCCAAGGAGTTAACATTCCCAAGCAGCATTGACCAGTGACGGACAGGGGTTGGTGGATAAATACCCGGCTCTCTGGCCCCCTGGGTGGGATAACCCTGAGGTGTGTTCCACACCAGCTCACAGAGGTCCGCATGTGCCAGCAGCAGTAACTTGATGGATAACCTTGACTGGCTCCCTTCCCCAGTCTCTTACAACGCTTCCTGGACCACCTCCCAACACTCAGCAGTGCAGTTAGTGTCAATGTAAAGTGTATTCAAGTCCACTCATGGGTTTGAATGGGTGGGCGTTTTGAATGGGTGGATGTTGTGCCATTGCCAGGATGGAGCCAGGGTGAGAGGAGAGAGGCACCCTCCATGCTCATGCTGCTCTCGTCTGAGTCAGACCGTGAGTGCTTCCTGAAATTTTGCATCCTGGGCATCTTACTTGCTCACTTCAGACCTACCCTGACATTCAGGAAATCAGAACATAAGACTCAGACAAGAAAACCTATCCCAAGCAGATGTTTTCTAGGGTGTGCTGTATCTGTGTTTCTTCACTGCTTTTTCATAGACAATCACCTTCTATATGGAGGACTTTTGGCTTCCAGATTCAGAGGTATTAGGATGATTTACATGATCAGTAAAGCACACGTGCTATTATAAGCATTTAAGACAACACATCTATTTTAAGATGATGGCAAGAAATCCAAAAGGCAACCTGTAAAGCCTGGTTGTTTTACAGCCTATTAATAAATGAACAAAACAATCCATCTTGGCAGAAGCCTTCTAGGTGAAAAATAAAACTCCTGGTTCAAAGAGGCTGCCCGGCCTGCCGAGCCCAGCCCGGAGTTTATTAGCACAGTTAATATCGCATGCAAATAGATTTCCCTGCTTCGGTCATGCCAGTCCATTAATTCAGCCCCTTGTCTGCTACATCTTTATCCTTGGCAGGTTAATCCTGCCAAATGCCTTTGCTGTAGCACCTGTCATGCTGTGCCTATGTCCAACAATGCAATTTTGCTAATCCTGTTGTATCAGCTTTGTGGCCCTGTCTGGTCAATCCAATGGTGGAAAAAGTGCACATAAGGTTTTTGCCAAGATCTTTCCACTACTCTGGCATCCACCCCCTCCTTTAAAAAAAATGATTTCAATTAAATGGTTTGAAAATCAACCACAGTGTTGGACACCGGCCAACGGCCATGTCTTTCAGACAAGGATGTCACGGAGCTCAGCATGCCTCCAAACCGTTTCTGGCAGCCCCACCCAGCGTCAGCTGAATATGCTAAGTGAAAAGGGTTAAAACGGGAAGATCAGCTAAACACCTCTTTTCCAAGGCTGGAAAATCCTGTCCTGACACCAAATAGGTTTAACGTTCCACCCTCACAGTTACCATAAAGGACGTAAAGGGCTTGAGGATGGTTGAATGGAAAGCATGCCTATTACTTGTTATCTTTGGTGCTGTCCTCTTAAAGGCTTATGGAATCACTGACATGAATTGTTAGATGAGGCACATCCCTTCCTGCAGTCACCTTTGTCAGGTATTCACCTGAAACAGGGAGGAGCCGATTCTCCAGGTCCCACAGTGCATTGCTCTTCTAGTTCATGTCCCAGTGTGGATAAGAGCCTGGGTGGGCCTAATAGCCACATTTGCTCAGGCTCAAATCCCAGCTGAACCACTTCTACCTCTCTGACACCAAGCATATTGCTTTACCTCTCTGGCCTCATTTTGTTCATCTTTAAAATGGGCATAACCATAGTACCGGCCAATAGGACTGCTGTAAGGATTCTTCGTTAATATGCGTCAGTCACTCAGAACAGTGCTGGTACACATACAGCAGGCAGTGGGTAAATGTAAGCTGATATTAGCATAGACTGGAAAATTTGTCAAAACTCACTGCCGTTTGCACAGCACATATGCAGAATGCATGGTAAAATTCCACATGGGCATGTCTTTTAGGGTCTTCAGATATGAACTGTACTCTCTTACCTGAGAATTACAGAAATCTGGCTGCAAGGACCCCTATCTATTCTCCATGCCTCCCACTGGCCTCTATATTACCCCGGTAGCCTTTGGTGGATGTGAGGAAGCATTCTGGGGGGATAAGCACTGGGCCTGTGATTAGATTCCCCAGGGCCTGAGTCCTAGGCCTGTTGCGGTGTGACTTTGGGCAAGTTACTGAACCTGTGAGACTCTTACAATTCCCACATTAGCGATGGCGAGACTTGGTTTTACACAGCAGGGTTACTGAGAGGATTCAATGAAAAGGCACAAGTGAGCTACACGGTGCTGCTGGGAACACCGTAACTGCCCCATAGATAACGGCTGTTATGGCCATGGAGCCCCTGCAAAGCACCTGGGCTTCCCTCTCTGATTCTCCATCCATCTGCCTCCTCATCTCCCACAGCCTTCCTGTAGATGTTCTAAGAGTTACGTGGGATCGGGGAGGGAAAGCTGCCAGCACGGGGCCTGGTTTCCAACGCAGACGCCAGGGATGAGGTGGTGCTCACTGCTGCTAAACCACAGTTCACCCTGGCTGATTTCTTGCTCCAATAGCCTCAGCTCTATACCGTTCTTTTCGTGTTACTCTAGTAATCCTTGCTAAGGCTTATGGGTGGTTTTTAGATGCTGGTGTGCACGTATAGATTTGAAAGCCCCATCCTGAGGTGGGTGCCTGGACATCATCATGGTAACTGTGAGGGCAGGACATTAAACCTATTCGGTGTCAGAGGTGATAGGACAGGATTTTTGCCCTCCGTGTGAAAGTATTTGACTACACAGTAGAGCTGTATGCTTCCCTTGCCAACCCGGCCACTGAACACTGCCTTTTCCCTCCTGCTTCTCCCAGGTGCTGCTGGAATGTCTAATAAATAACGTCTTGTGATTAGCTGGGCACTTACTGTGTGTGTTCCTGTTACAGCCTGGATGCTTCACATTCATTATCTTCATTAATTCCAGCTGGAATGAAATAGTACTGTTTTACCAGCTTCCCACTGAAGGAAATGGAAGCTTAGAAATGACAATTAGCTTACCCATAGCTAGCAAGTGGCCACAGAGACCAGGGGCTTTCCAGGCTACGGGGCTACACAACACATCTTGGATGTGATGCCATTTCATCTGATGGGCATCGGAGTCGAGGGTGGACCTCCTGAATTACCAGCTCTCTTTAGCATTTATTTGTTCCAAGGAATAGCTATGCCACATGCAATATGTTCCTTCTCCTTTTACTGTTTTGATGAATCTGGTACTCAGTTTTTAATTTTTCTCCTAGGGAGAGGATATGGCAGAAAACAAGACCCCTTTTCTGTAGAAATTAGGAAATTCCAGCATCTTAGCACATTTCACCCGGTGTGCTGAGAGTACTCTCTTGCCTGCCAATGATAGAATTAGGTGCAAGGACCCCTGTGTAGTTGCCATACTGCTCACTGGTCTATATATCCCAGTTCTAACCCTATACATCCCAATTCTGTTGAACTGATCTGAATCTAGTTTTCATTCACCAATCTATTGGATAGAATCAATCTGCTAATTAAAACATGATGGAATCAAGCTATTTGCAAAATTAGGAGTTCTGACCCTCTCTCTGGCCTCTGTGGCCCAGGTGAGGTCCTCTGAGACACATGTAGGTATTGCCTTGGTGAGAATTCATGCCGAGAAGACAGTCCATTCATCTTAGGTCTTGCTTAACTAGCAGAATGTAAACATCTCTGAACTTTGCTTACTGGATAAAAGGCAGCATTAGCTTCTCATTAGCTTCCCATTGCATTTCCTCCTGCAGGATCAATCACACATCCAGCACAGACATGTGGCCCCTGCTTGTAATTAATCTTGGAAAGGCATAGCTCTTCTGTGGATGGATTGTGTATCTGAGCACAGCTTTCAGAGGGGAGGGGTGGGAGAAATAAAGGCTAGAAGCACAATAATAAGCACCAGTGTTTGAGAAGTCCGCTCTGTGCCCTGTGCTGCAAGCAGCTTTTTTTAGTGGTTGATTCACTGTCAGAAAATTTGCTTTTGCCTGAATGCTACTTAGCATCAGGGAGGGAATTTGTGATTTCTTCGTTTCCACAGTGTGAATTTGATGCCTTACTTAGTTGTGTTTTTTTGTTGTTGTTGTTCTTTTCTGGCCAAATTGAAGTTGTCTAAATCTTATCTTTTGGGTGGTTCTAGAGTTACGCTCAATCTCTGAAACTGTCTGGAAGTGCTTGGGTTCCTCTATTCCCAAGGATTTAACGGTGATGCTTTCATACAACTGAAAGAGAACTGCTTTTGATCTCGTTCTCAACTCTGCTTTTCTACTTCTTATTGGAATTTTAAATGCTTTAAGGTTGTTAGGTTTCTTTTCTTTTTAAAAAATTGTGGTAATCTCAGTGACCAGGCTGGTAGAGGGCAGCTGGGAGGGGAGTGATAACAAGAAGTGAAGATCCCGTGAGTATTGATCATCAGAGATGACTAGGACTTGAGGCACTAAGGACTGTCAGCTCTTTCCTTTACTGAATAGTATTTGTTGTTATTTTGGAAACCAAGCAAATTGCAGAAAAACCTTTATGGAAACTCAATTTACACAAAAACCACCTAAGGAGTGACATCCTCAAAAGCTCTAGGAGGACTGTGTGAAAAGGCAAGCTTCCTTGCTGCCCCGAATATCATGTGTGAGATACACTTCATTTAAGGGTCATGCCCATTGTGTAAAAGGAGGTGCATCTGCATTTATCTCTGAAAAGGGATTTCTTCTGACAAAGCATTTCCCTCCCCTGCAAGCCTCAGAAGACATAGACAGTACGGGGATTAAGATATATTGACAATGGGAGGATTATTTCCTTACCTGGTATATAACAAATGCCTATTAAGAAATGAACAAAACAATCCCGTCTCCATTTTCTCTCAAACATCCCGACCTCATGGTCAGTACTCATGTGTTTTCTGACCTTGCTTATCCTGCTGCCTGCCCAGGACGCTGGGGGCAAACCATCCAGGCAAGCTTGAGACTGCCCGCCCAGACAGAGGGGCCCTTGGGCTCTGCCTGCAGGAGCAGGTAAGCTGTTCTCACTTCTTCCTGCATGCCCGCCTCTTTTGCCTTAGCTCTCACATTTCTGTTGCCAGAACTCAAAACGCTTTCTTGTCAGACCAAATGTATATTTGGAAAGTGGATTGTTTGAAAACCTTGACTGGCACTGAGATCTCAGAGGCCTGGCTGGGCGTTTCCGGTTAGTAGCTGATACCTAATTTTTCTTTTTGAAAGTCCTCCTTCCTCCCCATAGGCCTTGGAGCCCTGTGAAGTTTCACAGGCTACTTCCCTTTCCACCATGATTGTAAGTTTCCTGAGGCCTCCCTAGCCAGTTTTCCTATACAGCCCATGGGACCATGAGCCAATTAAACCTCTTTTCTTTATAAATGACCCAGTCTCACATAATTCTTTATAGCAGAGCGAGAACATCACTAATATAATATGTTTGTATTCTCTTCTCAGCAGTTATTCTCCCAAGAAACTCTCTTTTTAAAAAATGCAGCAACTTATATAGTTTTGGAGGAAGAAAACCCTTTAATAAAGCATGGTTTCATAGAGTAGCAGTAAGGGGAAGTTCTACTTCTGAACAAAACGAGTTACCTCTAACACAAAATACTCAGGAAAAGGTAACCAAGAGCAGGCTTCTGAGAATGAATGAGTCACCCTCTCTTACACTCTGCAGCCTGAGCTGGGAGATACTGGCACACACATGCTAACACCGGCAATGACTCACTTCAGTCTCATCTGAGACCTGTTAGATCTCCTGGCTATTATTTAGAGAAATCACTAGCAAAATTGAAGGACAACTCACAAGTCCAAATCACTGTATAGTTCTTATCCAACTTCTGGGGACTGGGAACAGTCACCTCATGGGAGGGTCCTCTCCCCAGACTCTAGACCAAGGTACAGAAGTTGACATGACTCTTAACGTCATTATTGAATCTACTTCTGTTAGCCCCTGAGGCAGACACAGGTGAGCTGGAGCTAGTGAATTCTGGAATTCTGTACCATACCCTCAAAAGAGCCTCCCAAGCTGGGGGTAGGAGGCAGCTTTCCTGCAAGTGGAAGTGCTCACATGTCTGGGGAAGGGGATTATACAGACGCACAAACAGGAAGAACAGGAAAGTGAGAGAGACCAAGCAGGGGACAGAATTCACGGAGTCCATGCAGCTTCCTTGGTAACACTATTGTAAAAAAATTCTTTGTGCAATTATTTACTGACATAACTGAATGAGGAATAATTAGTCAAATATCCCTGAGACCTTGCTCAAAGCAAAACACTTTCATAACCCTAGGTATTAATATTTTAATGTTGACACTTAAAGACCATATTCTGAGACAATGTCTGAAGCACCGACAAGAGCAAGGACCCGTTCCCTGTGGAAATATAATGCTAGGGAGAGGGAGGAGAGGAGCAGGGACATGAGTTGTATCTCCAAGCCCCAGAGCTGACACCCCGACCTTGCTATGTTCTACAGCCTTGTAATGCTGTCCAGTGCTCACTCTGGGCTTGTTTCCTTATTGATAAAGTGGAAATAACAATACCCTTGAACCTCAAAATCAGACATCATGTGCCTGGCCCAAGGCCAGGGCTGCAGCAAACTCGGAACCCCATCATATGGCACAGAGAAAACCTACTGACCTGTCAGTGCTGCTGAGCCTCTCCATCCTTGTTCTGGACACACACTGAGAAGTCCAATCTCATCCTTCATTCTGCAAGAAATTTTCAGGAATCAGTCACCCTCTGGTCACCTTAACTTCACGGCAAGCCATTTTAGACTCAGCAAAAGCAACCTTGGGACTCAGTTGAACTTCATCGGGGCTATGGAAGCTGGTCCACTATATCATGGACCTGCTGTCTTAACTCTGGGCTAAAAAACTGTCTGTGGGGGTGGATGGTGGAGCAGAGGGAGGGAGGGCGTGGTGGGTGGAGAGTTCTGCCTGCCTGGGCACTCAGCGCTGGATTCTCCCTGCACTTGCACATTCTTTAACAAAGTGACAGGGCACAGCTAACATTATCACAAAACCTCAAGTGCCTCTTTCACACGATGCTTCTAGTGACATGCTTTTATGAGTCTTTGAAGCATAGGTGGTGAGAGGATGAAGAGTTTTCTGTTTTAGGGCCAGGAGCGCTTAAGACTCTGTGTGTGTGTGTAACACCAACCTTCCTTCCCCCCTTCTCCCTCCCATTCTATATCACTAGAAAGAGAAAAGAAAAAGGATGGGATACTTTCTATTTTTTTTTTTTTGAGATGGAGTCTCGCTCTGTCACCAGGCTGGAGTGCAGTGGGGTGATCTCAGCTTACTGCAACCTCCGCCTCCTGGGTTCAGGTGATTTTCCTGCCTTAGCCTCCCGAGTAGCTGGGACTACAGGCATATGCCACCACGCCTGGCAAATTTTTGTATTTTTAGTACAGACAGGGTTTTACCATGTTGGCCAGGATTGTCTGGATCTCTTGACCTCATGATCTGCCCGTCTTGGCCTCCCAAAGTGCTGGGATTACAGGTGTGAGCCACCATGCCCAGCCAGGATACCCTTTAGACAAGCACCAAGCCCATAACTTGGCAGCTGTTATTCCTTTGTCCCCTGCTCCTGGGGGCTAAGACAATAGCTACAGATTGGGGTGGGGGGGGCAGGAGAAGGGGGACTTTCAAGTGAAGCTGAAGAGAAAGAAGTGAAAGAGAAAAATCTTCAGCAAAGCCTATCTTCTCAGCTGACAATATGCTTGCACTTCAGTTCCCCTTGTCCTTGAGAGGCAATAAAAAGGGATGTGAAAGATGGGGAATGGGTCAAGGTTTTGTCCTCATTTTGCAGATAGGGAAACTGAGGCAGTGGAGCTTAAAGCAACCAATGAACCTTTATGAAACCACAGGTTGGTAGGGACCATAGATGTTTAGCAAACATCTTTAGCTTTCCTTTGAAACGAATGCTTTTCATTTTCTTGATTCCTGTAATGGGTCAAGACCAGTAAAGTGAACATGAGCAAGTTAGCTCCTCCACAACATTGATTCAAACTAAGTTGGCAGGGGTGTTCAGGTGAGCACACTGCACTTTAAAAGGTGTAAAAGGGCTCATGGAGGGACACTCTGGGTACCTGGGATAGAAGGAGAAAGCTCAGCAAGACACACCTAATGATGAGATGACAGTTTCTCCATCTGTAAAATGGGATGACATTTTCCTTGGCTGGTAGAGGGAATATAATATAATCCTTGGGCTCAATCAATAGTCACAGTAATTGGCAGTTCACCAACAGGTGCCTCTAATAAGCCCAGATACCATAGTGGGGGTCCTCATCACCAGCTTTGTCACAAAGGGGCAGCACACGCTTGGCACATTCATTCTAAATCACACCCCTGCCCTCAGGGTCCATGATGCCAAAGGATGACATATTAGTGGCACCCACTATGTTCTTGGAAGATGTTTTCTCCAGGATGTGGAAGAAAAATTTAAAAGGATCAAAATAGAGGTATCAGTTGATTCATAGCCAAGATAGGGTATATAGTGTTAGCAGTTGTAGTAAAAGCAAAGAAAAATAATGGAGAGAGGACACATTACACAACTCATTTTGGTAGAAGAGCTGGATAGCAATATTGAAAAACATTTTGATGCCCATTAAGTAACTGTGCCCACTCTGTCCTTGGCGGTTAAGTGCCTATTTCTGGCCTCTGACACATGGTGATCCTACCATCTCCACTGAAATCAAACAGCTCACCTCAATGGTAGCACCCCCACCAATGTGCCCAGCCTAGGGAGCTCAGCCACCGCAGTGATCTCTCAGGAAACTGGGACTCCATCACTGACAGACTGCTCAGGGCCTTATTGAAGGGAGTATCCTCTGAGCCTGCTCCAGGGACAGAGTGTGAATATGGGTGTACAGGGTGCACATAATAAATCTATTCCCATCCCCACATCCCAGCCTTCTAAGCCTTTGATTCCATCCTCTTACATGATGCCAAGGAAGTTTTGGAAACATCAAAGAATGTAGAACCAATGAGTCCCACTTTCAGCCAACCAACCAGACTATCTCTTGGAGCCACTTCCAGCTGCTCAGCTGACACAGTAAATTCAGGATCTCCCAACTCCATCCTTGGCCCAACATCCTTAGAATCCATTTCTAAGCACATTCCTCAGGTCTTCACCAACATAAATTAGCAAAATCTTGCAATCCTTTTATAGGAATGCCCCTCCTGCCCTGGGAAGCAGATAACCCCCTGCATCCCCCTTGGTGGAGGGTCTAGGCTGAAGCAGGGCTGCTGGGCTGCAACCCTCCTGCTCCTCTAGTGACTGCTGGTGTTTCTGCCTGCGGAAACGGTTCTTCAGGAAGCAAAACTTGCTGACGGAGATGCTCTGCTCTATTTTGGTGTTTTGCCAGATATTTTACTTTGATTTAGAAATTGAAGAATCCTTCTGATCCTGAGAAGGTCCCAGAGGAAAGAACCTGAGGAGACGCCCCGCAGCTCTCTGGCCTGACAGAGCTGCTTTCCTGAATTCCAGGCGGGGGCTGAAGGAAGACTCAATATTCATCTCCCTGGCATGTTAAACTCCCACCTTTATGCTCTCTCCAAATGCAAGAAGACTTGAATTGTTATCAAAGATAGACTGTGAAAAAGCAGCAGCAGCAACTGAATTCAGGTCTGCTAAGGAAGGCTAGAGATGGCTGGCTGAGCTGGAAGCTTCTGGGACCCCTCTGTTGCAGTAGCCACCTTTCGCCAAGCCTGACCGTGCCTGGTGCTCCACATACCGCCTCTCTCTAAGCTCTGCAGTAACCCTGAAAGGTGGGCATCATTGCCTCCATTTAATGAGTGAGGAAATGGAGACTTGGCCTCACTCATGTGCTTCCCCTGCCTCCTCCATTCTCCCAGTGATAGTGATGACAAGACAGGGATGCTGATGCACATTCCCCAGAGGCTGAGACAACAGTGTGCCTCTGGATCATGATGGCGGGGAGCGGTCGTGGGCTTCTGGGTCAGTCACAGGTATTTGGCTTGTGCTTGAGCCATAGTCCTCCTGTCCCCAGGCATCTTCAGGGAGTGTGGGCCTTCCTTTCCTCACAGGCAGGCAGGTTGTCTGCTCTCCACTGCTTTCCCAAATGCCCCCGATGAAGAAGGGAGACCAATTCATGCCATTCCCTTTTATTCATGTTTTAGAAGCACCTCTTTAAAACTTTAGTTTTGAAAAGCCTGGAATTGGCAGCAAAATGGACATTTCTGGTTATCCAGGAAGGTGAAAACTCACATGGCCTCTGAAATGTGCATGAGAAAATGTATGATTCCTTCAGTGCAAAGTGATCCCCTGCCAAGTGGACTCAGCTCTCAGAAATCATGTTTTACGCTTTGAGACAAATCCCTGACCGGAATGTGCAAGGTTAAAACATTTAAAACAGGATTCAGCATCAGTGTACAAGTATAACCAGAAGGTTGTTCTCTCAAAGTTTTTTTTTAAGCAAGGAAGCTCAATTCCCGAGTTACTGTTGGAAGCTTTCCAAAAGATAAGGCTTTGGTGTGGACTTTGGGTCAGACAGACCCGTCAGCCTGCCTTGCTCTGTCTTCCCTAGCCATGCAGGGCCTTGAGCAAGCCAGTGAGCTCAGTTTCCTCGTGGGTGATCTGCGGACAGCAACCTCTTCAGAGGGTTTTTGTGCAGATGTGACCTGATGAGGTGGGGGAGAGGGAACGAACATGGGTTACGCAGGAGAACATAGGAACCCAACACACCTTAGTTTTACTCCCCTTGCTTTTGGGACTTCCATTCTGAAAGATACTTTTTCCACACCTTCCAAGAATTTCTTTGATTCAACATCTAAAAAGGCTGGGTTCGATACTATGAAATTTGGTAAGCAGTGATCCCAAAAAGCAAACCAACGAGAAACATGTAAGCACCAAAGCTGAGTCAATGGTCCGGTCACTGTGACTGTGAAGGGAATACCAATGTAACCCACTAGACTTTGAATACAGAGAGATGTTGTTCACAATGATGACCAGACAGAAGTGTTCCCTGTTACCTACACAACCGTAAAATTAGTCAGCAATTTCCAGTTAAGGCTCCTATTCCAAGCAGTAAGAGAATAAGTGAAAACCAAATCCTCGCAATCAAGCTTAAGAACAGGATAAGAGAAATAAGTACACTGCACATGCCAGTCGTGAGGAAGGTGAGGATTTAAATCCCTGGGTGATAGAATTCTGCTGGCGCTTCAGTTTTTATCCTACTCTTCAAACTTACCCCACACTGGGAGTTCAGAATGCAAAATTGCAAAGGCAGTGATGTGCGGGGAAGTGAGATAACACAGCTCAGCCTGTGGGTTTTGCAGCGTCAGGTTTGTGTCAGGATGGAATGGACTGGGAAGTGTGACTATTGAGACACTTGCTGCAAACTTCCCAGTTGAACCAAAGACTTAGACCCCAGCAATGCAGCCGGCCCTCCCCACTGGAGTAGAAGCTGCCTGGCAAACATCTAAACGTGATGTAATCCTTTTCCTTGTGGACCCAGCTCTTAGAAATCATGTTTTATGCTTTGAGCCTAATTAACAACAAAGGGTCATCTTCTCTGGGCATCCTGATTTTGTTTCTGGTTCACTTTCAATTTCCATCATTATGAATCAAGTTAGTAAGAAGGGGATTATGGATCAATCTTCCTCTTCCCTCCCCTCCGCACATAGATAGTCCCCTCATCCCCCATTTTTTAGGCCTTGCTGTGAGGATGAAATCTACAAGAGTG